TGTTACCATCCTTCAGAGACAACTGCAAATCTTCAAACTGAAAAGTAATTACTTTATGTCAGAATATAGGTAAACAAATACTAGCATTAACTTGTGATGCTCTAGTCTGAAACACAGACCTCACCTAAATATTCACAAATGCACCTTGCTGGAAATCAGGAAAGCCTTAACCCTACTAGACTATCCCAGTGATGTAAATCAAAAAAAAAGACACCTTGAAGTTGCTTCCAGTGAAATATATTGTGTTGAGAGTTTAAAGGCAGAACTTACTAACACCTTAACTGCTCTTAAAGGCACTGACAACAAGGCATTTGAAGAATCCCTTTAAAACATCTTACTTTTAGAAAAGTTAATACTTTACTTGACAGAATCCATTTCTATGACACATCTGAAAGCAATAAATGAGGATCATTACCTCTTTTTTGCAGAGGCTGAGTTTTTCAAGAATTTTGCATTTTTCTTCAACTAGTTCAGCAATTTTATTGGCAAGCTGTTTTTCCCTTCCTAAAAAGTGAAAGACAAGCAAATGTTGCATCATCCAAATAATTAAAGGTGAGAAAAGAAAGAATAAAGTCATACACTCAAGAAATATGAAAAATGAAGTACCGAAAATAAGCTTACCTACATAAAGTCGACTTCTAACCTGAAAAAAAGAGAATAAATACTGAAAATGTCTGCTCATTTACTCTTGTATAGTATCTGAAAACTAATCTTTTAAGCTGTGATTCCAGGCCAAGTTTAACCATGGAACTTAAAAAAGGAGTATAAATCATAGTAAAAACAGGCAATCCTATCCTCTGCTCTTACCCCCGCCATGTCTGTGTGTTTGCCCTGCCCTTCTCCCACTCTTATCAGACAAAAGAGGGGAAAGGAGATTAGTTTTCACCTGGATGACGTTAATAACACACTTTGTATATTCATCACATAAGCACAACTGCCCACACAAAGCCCTGTAGTGGAGTCACAGTCAGAAGAGCAGGCAAGGGAAGGGAGAGGGAAGCTCCACACCTGAGCTCAGATTTCCTATTGGGAAAGATCTCCCATATTACAACACACAACAGCTGCAGTAAGGTACTACTTGATGGGCATCCTTCAAGTGCCAAGTGAGCAGCTGCCACATGGGGCCTAGTACCCTAGAATCAAAATCTAACAAATTCTGCAGGGCAAAATCTGTCACAAATGGCCTGTATGAGAGATGCAGAACTTGGTTGAACCACAGAACTGTTACAACATAGCATTTCTCTCACAGCTGGGCCTGGGTCATGTGCCTAAAGTAACAATGGGGCCCTTCCTTGTTTTCTCCTAATTTAAAGCCAAGGAATCCAAATGATGAAAAAAGGGTAAGAAAGTTGTAAGTATGCTTTTATCCTATCCTCCCCAATGGATGTTTAGTTACACCATTACTTTTCAGTAACCATCAATTCTTCAAGGAGCCATCAGTGCAGTTCTAAGTATGGATGACTGAAAAAGCTATCAACAACTTCTGCAGTATCTCCTGCCCTAAGTGGCATGTGCAGGAGGAACACAATACCAGTTTAGCTGCTTGCATGATTTCAGTTAAAATGCCTTTTGTATCACCTAGAGGGATGCCTCTAGAGAACAAAAGGTATGACCAAGTTATAGTTACATTAACTTACACAAACACTGATCCCCCTACAGAGAAGGCCAGTTCATGTTAAAACACTAAAAATGCAGTCACTCATATCTAAAAAACTAAACAGCCATGGAACCAGTCTTAAAACATGAGTATCATTACACCTACTAATAAAATCACATTGACTGTATAAGAGTATGTAAAAAATGGGAAGAAATTCAGAATACTGAATTACAAATACTAACCCCATTTCCATAGCAGGGACAATAAGGTAGGCAACTTTTATTACTCAGATCTTTACTTACTCTCAAGAGAAGCATTGAAAGGTTTCAGTACTGCAATTCTCAAAGTCATCAGATTAGTGCTCACAAAAAGCATGCAGTTAAATTGGTTCAGTGTTACAGTGCTCAATAAACAGAGTCCAGGTGTCCAAAGAGTATTAAAATGCCTCCCTTGACAGGAAACTATGTGGATTGCTTTTGCTTACAATTACCTTGAAGGACCTGAGCTGCTCTGGCTATGGCCATGGCCAGGTTAGTCACAGAGATATCAATACACACAGCAACACATACACCCTAGGGAAGACATCTGTATCCTGTGAAAATAATTTAAGGGCTGACTTTGAAAGTCCATGTAGAAATTAAAAAGACAAGAGGAAGCCTTTTATTACAGCGAGTTTCATTGCATTTCCTCTTACAACAGTCACTCACTACATATCCAGACACTCACTATCTTGACAAAAAAGACTTTTCAATTTCTCTTTTAGAGAGATTCTAAAGTCAATCACAATAGATTTAAAACTCTGAAGTATTATCTATCTTGAACAGGAAGGATAACAACTTCAATGCAAACTATTAATGCACTCTACGTATCTGCAAGTAACTTGAATACTTTCTGTGCTGGCTTTGTCTGGAATGGAGTTAATTTTCTTCACAGTAGCTGGTACAGGTCTATATTTCAGATTTGTGCAGGAAAGTACTGGAAACACATGGATGTTTTAGTTATTGCTGAGCAGTGTTCACACAGAGTGAAGACCTCTCCTGCTTCTCACCCACAAGGAGGCTGCAGGTTCACAATAAGCTGGGAAGGGACACAGGACAGCTGACCCACAGCTTGCTGACATGATGCTCAGCACATAAAGCTGAGGGGAAGGAGAAGGAAGGGGGGGTGTTTGGAGTGATGGAGTTTGTCTTCTAGAGTAACTGCTACGTGTGATGGACCCCTGCTTTCTTTCAGCTGAACACCTGCCTGCTTATGGGAAGCAGTGAATCAATTCTCTGTCTTGCTTTGTTGCATGCATTGCTTTTCCTATTAAACTGTATTCATCTCAACCTATGAGTTTTCTAACTTTTAGTTCTCTGATTCTCTCCCTCTTTGCAACATGACACAGGGAGCAAGAGAGTGGCTGTGTGGTGCTGAGGTGCTGTCTGGGGTCAAACCACAACACTTACGGATTGATAACTTCTGTACAGGAACAAGAGAATTGTCAAGACTCCAACAATGCCAGCACAAATCACTATTTCCCATGGGAAACCATACAGATCAGGGCCAGGTCTGATATCTTCAGGCAGTGATGCCACAGCCTGAAAAGTAAAGTAAAAAGCTTCAGCTAAAGGAAACGAGATTAATATTATCTACAGAAACAGACATTACATATTGACATTGTTTACCTCCAAGGCTTGTATATCTATTTTTTTTTTCAAAACTCTGAGAAAATGGTTAAGGGAAGCATTTGATTTTGAAATTATAGATATATCAGGAGAAAGAAAAAAAACCCAAGAAGTTCCAACAAGATATGAAAATCAACAGATAAAGCTCTGAAACCTTTTCTTTCTGACACTATCAATTCTCACAGAATCACAGAATGATTTGGGTTGAAAGGGATCTAAAAGATCATCTCGTTTCAATCCCTCTGCCACTGGCAAGAACACTTTCCACTGGACCTACTTCCCCAAAACCCCATCCAACCTGCCCTTGAATACTTCAAGAGATGGGGCATCCACAGCTTCTCTGGATAACTTGCTCCAGTGCCTCATCACCCCTGCAGTAAAGAATTTCATTCTTTTATCTAACCTAAACTTATCCTCTCCAGTTTAAAGCCATCCCCCCTCATCCTATCACAGAATCACAAGGTTGGAAAAGACCTTTAAGATCATCAAGTCCAACCTGTTCCCTGATACCTCAACTAAACCATTCCACATCCAGTCTTTTTTTTAACACATCCAGGCATGGTGACTCCAGCACCTCCCTGGACAGACCATTCCAGTACTTTATCACCCTTTGCATGAAAAACTTTTTCCTAAAAAAACCCGCAGTGATAGGGAACAACTTCTTCCTAAAAAGATGTTTCCTACCACTACGCGCCCTTGTAAAAAGTGCCTCTCCAGCCTTTTTGTTGGCCTCTTTAGGTACTGAGAATTTACTATAGAAAACTCCCTTTTGAGCTCTCTTACACATCTCACTGCTGGAAGAATCAACACTAGTAAGTATTTCTTGATCGTCTGGTAGAAAACTTAATTGGTAGAAAAACCTGTTCAACCAACCTCATGCTAAAATAACATACTGAACTCACCAGTGATTTAACACATTTTAAACACTTCGATACACCACGTTTCATTTGTAAACGGATCTATTTGCTCAAAGATACGACACGCTCCACGTGGCTCAGATTTACCACCCGTGACCCGTTCCTAAGAACAGGGTACTGTGCTGTTAACCTTTAATTTCGATTTTTCCCCTGCCCGAGCCTCTGAGGTGCACCGCTGGCCAAGACCGCGGCTGTGGCAGCGCCGAGCCCCGCGTCGCGCCGGCACTCACCCAGCGCAGCCCTTCCCAGGCCAGCCCGCAGCAGCGCCGGGCGCTGTCCCGCAGCCCCGGCCACAGCCCCGGCCACAGCCCGGCCGTGCCGCCGCCGGCCCCGGGCCCCCCGCGCCCGCCCGCCGCCATCTTCCCGCGGGCGGCGCGCGCCCCTTCCGGCCCGCCGCCTGACAACCGGCCCGTACCACTGCCCGCCGGGGGGCGGGGGAGGAACCATGCTGCCGCGGTAACGGGGGGCCCGCCGCGGCTGCCGGCCTCTGCCGCAGAGCCTCCCCTGGGCACGGGCACCGCCGGCCGGGGAGACCGGCGGCTGCCCTCGGCCTGCGCCCGCCGTCCCGCCGCACGGACGCGGCCCCGCGGAACCTGCTCCTGTTCCTCCCTAAAGTTACGCCAGAGAAACTCACCTCCCGTGCGGCGCTGGCCGCCTCCATGCCCGTCCGGGCGGCGGCGGTGGCACGGCAATGAAACTGCCCGGCAAGGCCCGGCCGTGTCCCGGCCCGGGCGGCGGGGCCGTGCCCGGCGGGGCGGGGCGGGCCGGGCCGCAGGTGCGCAGGCCTGGGCGGGCCCGAGCTGTGCCCAGTGCCTGTGCTGGCAATGGTCCTGCCGGGTTGCTGGTACCACGTGTAAGGGAAGATGCAATGCTACATTGCAAAGGATTCTTCTTCGTCTCATTCACTAAGGTTAACGCTAATTTGATTTGGTTTGGGTTTTGTTTTTTAACTACTTATTTTTTGAAACGTGTGCTAACGACTTTCACAACGCAAGATCAGTGATTGCGCTGCAAATCACGTAAGGGACCAGGATAGGTGGAAGGTGGAAGTACCTTTTTAAGCTTTTTTAGCTGTATCAAACAGTACAAGAACGCGTTTGTCCGTAGCAGTGAACTGTCAGTGAGTTGCAGTCAGTCACAAGGGACAAAGCCTCTGAGCTTTCCTCTTCCTAAACTGCAATTTAACCAGACTCTATAAACGTACACTGGAAATCAGGAATACATTTACGTGGTTCTTAAACTTCAATTACCCCATCTAAACGAAGTTCAACCAAAGCACCGAAGTTTACCAAATGGCACTTTAGCTGGCACTACTCTTATTTAGAGGAGACAGTGCAGCAACAGCTACCTTCTCTCACGGTGCTCTGAAACAATGGCAGCATTGTTTCTTGTGCAGTTGCTCCCCTTAAAGTTCACCTTCACTCTGCACTATGTGTTGATGTTTAAGACATCCCCATAGCAATAACAACAACCCCATTTTCTATTACATATCTTTTTTTTTTCTTAGAAAAGTATCTTTAATGCAGTTACAAATGAGGGGAAGATTTGTGAATCAAGGCTTTAAAAATACTCTTTAAAAACAAGGGAACTTGTCTAGTTATTTTGCTCATCATAAGCCAAGTTTTTTAAGTCCAAGCAAATTTAATGTTTCTGTTCTGAGAACTAGAGGGAGCTATTAATTTCATAAAAAAAAAAAAAAAAGAAAGAAAGAAACAAAACCAAACAAAAAATTAAACCACCACTCAGATATTTCCTGTCTGTTAAAAAAGCCCACAAAACAAAGACCCAGATCCTGACACCCTAAGGTCATCAGATTCTGCACTGCAAAGAGGCAGATGATAAGCAGCTGACCTAAAATGTTCTTATACTCTGTCTCATTTGGCATCAGATAGCCCTGGAAGCAGGGAACTGCAGAGGGTTTATCTAAAAGGATTTTCATATTTGGTTTTTTTTTTTTTTTTTTTTTTTAGGAGTTTCATTGCAGAACATAACTTGTAGCTGGCTTAAATTTGCACTAATGTCAATGTTATATCATGGAAAGAATTCTTACCATTTCGATGATAATCATCACTGCTGACGATGCAGATTTTAGTGTTTCTCTAAAGTCAAGAGCATTCAAGCACAGAAGTATCTGATGTATCCAGCCTCCTTCTGGTTGGATCATAAGGAATAAAACAAGAGGTTTTACATTACTATTTTCAACTTCATATAATTCCAACTGGATTAATTGTTTTTTGTTTTGCTTTTTTTTTTAAGATTGCAAATTTATTTTCCTTAAAATTACAAAACTTAGCCTTACCATTACTTGGAACATAGTTCTGGATGGCATCAGAGAAAGTAGTTTTGACATTGATTTCAGAGTCAGGTCCTGAACTGTCCATTTTTGTTTGAGAATTTACTGAAGCAATGGCTGTTGCTTTTGAATCTTGGTCACTGTCAAGTTCACTGTCTACAGCTACATATATTTCATGCTCCTTGTCTGGTGTTTCTTCTAGTAGCTTTCTTCTGCCTACTCCTGCACATAATTATGAAGGGAAATCATGGTTACTTTTAGAGGATTCAGCTTACTCCTATAATATATTAACTTCTGCAGAGATTTTATTTTTTTTTTTGTTTTTCTTTTCCTCAACTTAAAGCCCAATACCAGATAAATGTGCTACAGATGTATGACTTAAGAAACACTATACAAATAACACTATACAAAACCTCAGAATTTTAAGGATAGGGCTTTAAGCAAAACTTACATTGTAGGAAAGTAATTGCAAAATAAATGTTTAGGAAAATATATGTTTGGTTTTGATAGTTAGATTGTGGATTCCCTGGTCAGGATTAGTAGGTCTCTTTCGTATATCCAAATACAAGTGGGGTAAACTTTGGTGCTAGAACAGTTAAAAATACCATGTAGGATTAAAGATTAACAAATTCCAAGATACCAAGCTTCCCTGCAAAATACAAGAAACCACAGGCATGTTCATGTAGAAGTATGACTGAAGGCACCTGGCTGCCTCAGTTTTAGTGACTTGGAGTAAATTGCCTGAAGCCAGTAAAATACTGCTTGCGAAAAAAAACCACACCGTGCCTACCCACAAAATAAAAAGTTACAGATTGTTTAATTTAATCATATTCTTCAAGACAGTACTGGCCAAAGGTACACATCAGAAGTAATCCAGTAGTTCAAGACTAGTAATTTGCTCTGAAACTGTTACCATTGTATTCACTCGTGTTATCAGATCCTCAAAATACCATAAATCAGTCCATAACTTGTATGAGTTAGGCTCGCTACCTCTTCCTTTTAAATCACCAGAAGGAGACAGTGTTCTATCTGTTGTGGTTTTATTTTTGCCAACAAAGGCTATTTTGTTCTTGCTAAATCACTGTTAGTGAAACATTAGTAACTTTAGCTGCAGTTTGGGCAACACGCTTAATTGTTATAGCAGACAAAAGCTCTGGCAGCTCTAGAAGAACATTCCTTTTTTCTGTATATTTTTCCTGCTCAGTATCCAAACTGTGCCCCTTTTGTGCAGACACAATGACCTGTTCCCTCCACATAGCATTATCTTCAGTTGAGTAAGCTGTGATTTCACTATGAATCTTTTCAAATTGCTGGTGCTGCTGCAGCAGTTTGCTTCCATCACAGAGATACTCCAAGGGTTGCTTAACATCTTGTTTTAATTTAAATAAAATTGTTGAATTAATTAATGGGTTTGGTAAATCTGTTTATCATACAATATTTGCCTCGTTTTGTTTTTTTCTGCACCTTCTCTATATTTAATAGTATCTTAGATTGTTCAGATTCCTTTCAACTTTCTCTTGTTCTTCTGTGCAGTATTCAAGTGTACTAGTCCTAATGTCACTTCTATTTCCATTTGGGTTTTTTAACCAAACATATATGCTTAGACATTTTTTGACAGGGTAATTGTTAGTTTTACTAAATATATTTGCAAAGAACCCTGACTGTCTAGTAAAAATACTACTGAAATCCTTTTTGTTAGAATAAAATTGCCATTATTTTTATTTATGGATTTTGACTCTTATTTTCAGAATCTTTCTTTTTTTCTTCTTCTTCTCCTTCTCTCTCTTTTAGTAGCAGCAATTTTTTGTTCAGCATTACTCATCCTTTCAGTTACAATAGCATCTTCTTTTTCAAAGTCTACTCTATCAGCCAGGTTTATGAGCAATCCCAGGCTGCCAGGATTTAATTAATCCTTTTTTTTTTTTTCCCTTTAAAAATGTCTTCTGTTTTAGAGAGCTCCAAGAGTAAAAGTTTACACTTGGTCAGACTTATATCACATGACTGTTGCTTAGAAATACTTTTTTGGATATTAATTCAGCTGAAGACTGCTATTTGTCTTTTGAAGTACTATGCCTTTCAAAACTCAGATTAATTTTCTATGCTTTTGTATCTTGCACTGTCATGGTGGTTTGAATTGACCGGCCTAAATCTGAGGATGCAGATTAATATTTTGTTTTACAAGATCACAGGTGGTTTTTATATTCTTCCTGAGATCTAGATTAAGACTGTTCATTCTGTGGCACCAGAAGCTGATGCTGGGAACATGAATCTTCACATTTTAGTTCTCCTTCACCCTCCTGGTGACGTTGCACATTTATAGGAATTTGTTCAGTTTGTTGCTTCTCTCTGACAAGCTATTAGCAAGATCATCAAGAGTTGTCCAATCTTCTACTAATTTGGTAGAATTTGCTGAAGTTTTTTCTCCACCGCTCTGTTTGTTACTTTGCACTGCCAGCTGAGGAGGAAAGATCATTCTCTTTTGAGGTATTTGTTACTGTTACCTGATACACTATGTTTAACCTGCTGATTTGAAGTGCCTTCTGTTTCTTTATCCTATGGTATTTTATCAAGGCTTACAAATGTCTTTATTGTGGAAGCTTAGTTCTTCTCAGATAGCAGTTTTTACCTTCCATTCTGAAACTCCATATTTTTCCAAATGGCCAGTTTCTTTGGAAATTTTGGTACCTGTTAAACTGAGGCCATTTGATGAGAGGTGAGGAGAGAAAGGTCGGTCTGGAGTCAGGTCCTGGGACTCTTCATATTTCTGATGATGTTCATCATTAAAAATGTCCTGACTGAAATATTTGATGCTGTTTTCATAAAAACCCTGTGAGACACTTTTATTCTCTGATTTGTGAATTTCATCTTTTACAGTACTATCCATTATGAAGCTGGCTTTTGGATGCTGAATTTTTTTCTGCACCATAACCTTTGACTAGTTGGTCTTTCTTTGATGTTTTCAGACTAAGACTCGGTTCACTGTCACCTGAGGTCTTCTTGATGCCCAGATGATTATTTGCAGTTCCTGGTAGTTCCCCATAATGCTGCACTTGCCCTTCTTTGGTTGTTGAATTTGGAAACTTCAGTATGTCCTCAAAATGACTAAAAGAGAAGCAATGGCTTTGTTCTTCAGATATTTCAGGCTTTTCTCCTGTATTTTTTATGTCTGAGGGATCACAGTTTGGAGGGGCTCATGAGAACAAGACATTGGATGCAATTGATTAATGTTCCTGTTGATTATCATATTTATCCATATTATAATAAATAAAATGATTATAGATATTTATATACCAACCTGATTGGCCACGTCTGCTTTCTGACTCCTGATTTTTCTTTTCAGCTTCAGTATTTCTCAGGAGTTGGCTTTCTGATACCAAGTCTTCTTCTGAACTGTAAAGTTCAATTGGCTTCTCTTTGTCACATGTTAGTATAGCAAAAGATGATTCTGTGCTATTTGAGGTGTTTTTGGTGTCATTAAGAGTATGTGCACGTGCTGGTATCTCCCCAGGATTTGGCTTGTTACTCTTTGAATCTGTTATTTCTTGTGCATAATTTTCATCTTCATCTGTCACTGCATTAACTATTTCTTTTGATTCTTTGCTCGCAAATTCTGTCTTGTCTAAAGTCTGCTCTTCCTCATTCTTATTTGCTTGTTCCATTGTTTCTCTGCTTCTCTGGTCCTCTGTAGCAATTGTAGTTTCCTCAGCACGGCCAAAATTAAGAACATCACTTAAACCCAAATTAAACCAATTGGATTCAGATTCTTGGCTTCCACCCTTTTCTTCTTCTGACAATACCTCGGTGACTGTTGTTTCCTGTTCAGTACTAGAATGCCCAGGCACACTAGAGACATCATAGTTTTGTGGATCATTTTTTTCTGATGCCAAATCAACATCATTTTTTTCACCAAAATACAGAAAACTTGTCAGTCCACCTTGAAACCAACCAGATGCAGGGGGTTCTTGTTCCTCCTTATAATTTGACTCTTGTAAATAATTTTCAGCTGCTACCTCTATTTTTCTGCCTTGGTACTTACTTGCTTCTGAAGATTCAGTAAAAACTTTTAAGGGCTCTTCATCATTTTCACTTTCTGTGGTGAACCATCCTGAAATCCAACTAGACTGAGTTTGAACAGGTTCTACTGGGAGATTGTTTTGCACTTGTGGCTCTTCAGTATCATCTTTTCTAACCAACTTTTTGTTTACAGACTCCTGAATGTGAGAGTCCTCTGAGTCATTTTCATAAACTGATTTGGTACTTTCTTCATTTTGTATGGGGTGTCTTGTATATTTTAAGAGTTTATTTTCATGCAGCTTTGATTCTGCATCAGATAATGAATATTCACTTTCTTTGTTGCGATCAATTAATGCATCATCTTCATATTCAAAAGTGTACTTATCTTCATGAAGACAAAGGAAATCAGTTTCCTAAAAGAATAATATTAACTTTTAAAATGTTCTAATGTGTAATTTTCTCTATCACCATCTAGCACAGCAAAGTATATAGTTGTTTTTTCTGTTATAACTTTACACAAAGAGCTGTAATTAATTATACTATTCCTAATCTTTAATTATAGAAATTATTTTAGAGAACAATAAGTACGCAACTGGAACACTTAAAAAACATGTTTTGAATAATCTGAAATAAAATATCCATCAACAGTTGAATTTCTAACTGGATATTAGATTTTGAATTGTTGTAAAATACACTGGAAAATTTGGTGATGTTGGCTTACCTTAGTGAGCACTTCAACTTCTTCTCCAATTAAAACTTCCTCAACCTTCACAGCATCTCTTGGGAAATATCCAAAATCTTTTCCTTTCTGTAAGAAATATAAAACTAATAAGAGCATTTAAACTTCAGTGATGTGTATGTTAGGTACTTGCACATGTGCTGGGAAAGTATGGATGAACAATAAGCTTATGGAACAGCCCCCTATCTCCTTAATTCTGTCTTGTCAAAAGATTGGTTTAATTTTCCTTCATGGAAGTGTTCCCCTTGCCATTTCAGAAAGCAAAGGGAAGTGTATTACTCCATACTGTTATATTCTGTTTGTGCACTACCAAAGCAGTAACCTTAAAACTGCTTTAGCTGAAGACAGTGCTGTGTGCACTGATAGTCACAGCCAGCTCCTACTAAAATTGGCTGCAAATTTCCCATTGTCTCAAATGGGAAAAATGTCACACCTTAATAACTAATGGCTCATATTAAGTTACAAGAAAAGTAGGATATGAAGTTCAGATATGAGACCAACTGCAGCTCAAGAGAAAATTACAATGAAGATGGCAACACTACAGAAAATAAGTTAATGATAGGGCCCAGAAGAATCAAGTCCCTCTGGCCAAAACCCACTACTGTCCTTACATCAAACCATTGCATGTAGCCTTTAATGGAGGGATACATCTTGGAAAGCAAGGAATAGTGAGGTACCTGCAAAGATACTCTTGGATGAAAAAAAAAAAGGAAGCCAGAATTTCACTTTTAAACAATAAATGTGACAGATTATTTACAGGGAAAAAAAAACCAAAAAAAAAAAAAACCATCCAAAAATGTACTACTGTCTTGTAGTTCTGAAGCACTTACATGGTTTTACTAACAGTAAATCTTGATTTGGATCAATGCATCCATTCCCTCTTAAATGACTGTTCAAATTTCATTGACACTTGTTCCACGTCATTAAATATGTATGATAACTTCTCTGGGAACTTTCCTTAAGCACTGAACTGTGAAGTCAGGTCCCAATAGTGGATGTCTTACCCACAGACCTGTAGGTAGGAACCTGACCTGATAGACCTGAATGTTTTCAAGGGAGCCAGATTAAATAATTACAGCCAAATGATAAAATGAAGGAAACAGAAAACTTGCATTCAGATCTTGACTTTGTTTCTCTATGAGTGATCTTTGCCAAGATTTGATTTTCTCATTCTGTATAAAGATGGTAATGATGACTCATCTCCCAAATACTGTATTCATCCATGACTCCTTAATATTCCAAAAGAGATAGAAGATTCTTAGAAGCAAGTAGACTGTGGTTGTTACACTATTACTAAAATATTTATGGGGAAAGTATTTCAGATTGAAGTACTTACACTTCCTGTCCACAAGTTTTCATTTTCCCTTGAAAGTTTGGAGTATACAATGATCTCCTCCCCTGTTTTGAAGTTAAGATACCGGCAATCAGGCCCTAAGTAGTCAGTAGTGGCTTGAACTCGGCTCATTGCCTCTGGAATAATATGTGGAAAGAAATAAACAAACACAGCTTCCATTTTGTCTGAAGTCACATTACTGAAGAAATCTAATATATCAAATACTGATGAATTGCAGTAACAAGCATTTTTATGTATGTGCTTTGTTACAATACTAATCCATTTATATCATCAAGTGGAAATCAACTAACACAAAAAGCAGCCCTATCTTGTTTTCTTTCCCATGTACTGCAGATATCAAGGGGAAAAGTTCTTGTCCTATATGGACATTTTTCAGTGCTTGTTTAGCCAAGGTTTCAGTGCTTAAAGTGAAAGGATGTGTGCAAAATTAGCAAATTCAATTGTTAAAGTAAATCCAAACAGCTAAAAAGTATTTCTCAGGCATATTTATAATTTTATATTTTAGAAATTCTAAGTTAAATCTAGTAATTATTTCAGGGATTTTGTCCTCTTTTTTGAATACATTTATCTTAATATGAAAATACATACATTTTAGGAATATAAACCTTAAATATACTGTTAAAATTGAAGTTTTCAATTCACTTTGAATTATTTTAAGTTTTCCTTTTCTCCACCCCAGTCTCCCCACAGAAACCACTATTGATGTGCTCTGGTCTGTTTGGAGCCCATTTCACATGCTGTTCCACAAAGATAGACATCTCTGAACATCCAAAACCTACTGAAGTTGGTATGGCTCCTCAAGAAAATAGAAATTAATCATCAGAGGAAATCTAAGGTCTCTCCCACTTCAGGAGAAATGGAAGATTGAAAATACAGTGAAAATACAACACTTAAGTCTGCCAAACCAATGGATACAGCTTAGAAACAGCTTCAAATATGATTATAACAGGTTTCACAATTGTAATCAGTGGATAGTAAACAGGACATTATTTGTCCACTTGTGATTCAGTGGCTCTGCTTCCTACAGAGTTATTTACTCTTTGAGAATGACATAAATAGTTACAGCACTTATTTAATTTTAAAGAAGAAAAAATAGGTAAAGAGGAAATATTAACAGAGTGTTTTGTAAGAAGGATTACAAAAGAAATCCCAAACCAATTTGCTGGTAGGAAAAAAACCCGAGTTCTCTAGAATGGGCTATGAATGTACTATAAACACATGATAAAGAGTCTTCTTTCTCATCTTATAACCTACCATTTTAGTTTTATTTATATTTTATTTATTTTATTTTGTACCTGTAAAGAATGAGTTAAAAATACTTTAAAGCTGTTTTATACTGCCTGTTTTGGGGACACCTGAGAAGAAGTAGCTATTCAAAAGTATTTTTACTGAACTTTGATCTGTATAACCTTACACAACAATCCAGACAGTCTTTTTTTTTTTCTCTTTTCGTTTTAAAATTTTAAGCCTATTGCTCTTAAACTTAACAACAGACATTTGCTATGGCTACTCATTTCCAGTCTGTTTCATTGCTAATTTAGACATTATGATTCCTAATAGCTGCATATTCACCACAGACTCCCTTTGAAAAAAACAAATTTTTACTTACTCTCACATTCCAGATCACCACACTTCTTCCATTTTGAAAGTACCTTTGTACTCTGCACACTTGCTGAAAATGAAATTACTAACAACAAAATTCTCTGATCCAAGATCATTGACATTTTAGATTGAATCCAGAATGCACTGAAATTGTGGAAACTGCATTGATATGCAGTTAGCAAGAATATTCTACATTTTTCTTAGCCTAAGAAAACATTGCAAGTAAACTTTTAATCCTGTTTTCCTTCTCTGATCTACTTAAACAGAAGTACACTATGCTAACCTGCTAACAATCTGCAGAGTCAGGTGTCCTGATTATACACATGCATTAATAATTAACTATGTTCTGATAGCTAGGCTGGTGTTTTGAATACAAAGAAAGTAGTCCTGGTCAAATCAAAATTTAGCCTCTCTCAGATAGATTCTTCTGTACTGAGTTTGTACAAGATTGTGCCGGGAGAAATTCAACAGCAGTTGTATTAGGATTATTTCTGGATTATGAATGCATTTTTAATGTACCTCTTTCATCTGATTTTAAGATTGGTGTAAGTGTGATGACCAAGAAGCCTGGCAAGGTCTAAGACAGCCTACTATCTACAGCTACACCATATTCCTTCTGCATTATCTATGCAGAAGGATTTCTGCATAGCTGACGTCAAGAAAGAATGAGTGGGCCAAAGGAGGCCATGTGGAGATAGGATGGTTCTGTTTTGTCTCTGAAGAACTGAACAGAACAGAACAAAGTCATATGATCAGAGCTTTGAAGGACACATGGCCAAAAAAGTAACTTTTGGCTGAGTAAGGGTTTACGTATTTAAATATTAAAGCACACACCCTGAGCATGCTAATAAGATTAATGAAGTACATGCTACCACATACATGACTATACTACTCAATCCTCCACCTACATGTAAAGAAGGAGGAGGAGAGTAAGATGGGGCTGTATCCATGTATGCTGGATAGAATTTTCATGAGCTTAGTAAAAGACCCAAAAAGATCTTAGAGTCAGTTGGTGGGTTACTCTCCTCTCTTCACAAGCAGGGATGCTTGCTTGGTAAGCTTCTGCATAATATTATAGTTATTAGCCAGGCTAACACAATATTATTGTTATTGTTGGTGTTAAAGCTCTGTCACATCTAGTGCTGTTTATCGACAGCAATTCCAAGTCTGTGTTTCTGATGTTTCAGTAAACTAAACTGTGTGCTGTGTGAATCTGGGACAGTGAAGGTTCTTACTGAGCACAGCTTCACCTGTAATTTTGGATTGGTAAATGGCACTATTTGTGAATCTGGGCTTGTGAAAGTTCTTGAACACAACCAGACCTATACTGCCAAATCGATTATAATCATAAATCAAGCCCAGCCACATTCAGATCCTCTGATCTCTAATGTCCAGCTGGAATGCAGGGGTCATTATTTTATGTTAATCTCTATATCCGTAACATGATAGATGAACTATTAATTTTATGATTATATTGATTTGCATTAATGCTATCCTAGCTACTGACAGTGTTCTAAATTTTTTATTTGTTTGCTTGTTTCTTTAATAATCTATTTTTTTTTCTTTTTTTTTTTTTTTTTTTTTTGCACTGATATATTTTAGATAATTTATTGGGAACCTAAGACAGAAATGTTTTCCACATATTCTTTTGGAGCTTTCTCATGCACTATACCTAAGAACAGTCTATCCTTTAGCATGGGGAGTGCTTAAGTGGCTCCAAAGTCTTAAAGGTGCCTGGCAGTGTTCAGGTTTGTAAGACAACTAAAAAATCCATATGCTATCTTTGCATCATATATCACAGAGCAATACAGCAAAGCTAAGCAAATGACATGCCCTGCTTTTTAAATACCCTGTTTCTTAGCAACCTATTATCCAATATGTGGTTATAAATATTTTTTTCTCAATTATGTTATGCTTTAAAGTAGTAATTATGCAGGGAGATGTACAATAGTTATCAGGCATGAAGTTTTGCTATAAATGAAAAGCTGCAGAGAATCAGAATACCAGGCTGGGAGAGGGCCTTAAGGTTTATCTGGTCCAACTTTTCTTGGTAAAAGCATGGTCTAAACAAGATGGTCTATATGAATCTTAGAAGTGTCAAAACATTTGGGCATCCCCCACTTTATGGGGAGATTGTTCCCATGGCCAATTGCTCTCACTGTGAAATATTTTCCTCTTCTGTCTAATCAGCATCTCCCCTGAGTTTTGGACTCATCATCTTTTATATATGACTACTTGTAAAAGAAAACCTCCACCTTCTTTGTTTGCATCAGAAGCAGGCTTTGCTTCAAAGGTTTCATATCATTATCCCACACTTCTTTGGTGACCTAAACACAGTATTTATTAACCTATAAAAAAACTTCACTTTTCCTTTCCCACTGTCCTGCATGAGGGAGCCTCTTCTCCATGCCTTCTTGACCGCACCCCAAGAATCTGCATTACTTCCCAACCTGATCTTTGTCGTTCTAGGGTTCCTAGTAAGCCTGCCCCTCCTTCAGTCCTGAGTATGACTCATGCAAAGGTCACTGTATTCTCTTTCCACAAACCTAAGCTGTATCCTACTTGCAGCATAGTTTCCTTCTGCTCCACAACTCAAACCTGCCAGACACTGGGGCTTAGCCTGATCTACAGAGCCAGCAAAAAAGGGCTCAAAGTGAGCCAGGGTCACCTGAACCAGCAGTGGCCTGCAAACAGAACTTCAAAGAGACGATATGTCCCCCACTTGCAATCTAACACTTTGGCCCCTTCCTTTGCCACATGAGCTGATAGTCAGGCAGCCTATCCTATGACCTGTCACACCAGCTGTCTCTGCTGTTAGGTAACCCACCACAGAGCACCAAGGAATACACTGCAGATCAGCACCCCCTGTCACTCCTGACTAACTTAAATGCTGCCCCATTTTTTTCATTCCCAAGTCTCTACAAAACAGATTGGTGAGAAAGAATATACAAGTAATTTATATTGGAAGGACTTTCTATGTACTTAGTGTTGTACAAATTAAAAAAAAAAAAAAAGAAGAAAAAAAGAACATTTTTATCAAACTAGTCAGAAGTCTTCTAGAGTGTTGCACACCAACAAAGGACAAAACCCAACAATGGGCCTAGAAAGGTTAAGACTCCCTTTTTGAGCCTGGCAACATGGAGCCCATTCACCTAAAAATGGAAAAGTGAGGTATTCTGACATATAAATTTACATTAAGTTGGTTTGTGGGGGAGAACAATCAGACACACACCTTGAGTTCTGTACAGTATTACTGTATTTGTGAAAATACCTCTGAAAATGGCACTGACTTCAGTTTCATATAGATACCAAACTTAGTCCAAGTGTTTGCATAGAGGTAAAAATCTCAGCTACTCCATTAAAACTGCATTTGAAATGTTCAAGTTATTCTGGGCACTGCTCCTTGTGTTGCTTAGTCTCTGCAAGCATCCTTCAAGGCTTAAGTGCTGACAAACACTGCTCTGATGTCTGTTCTGCTATTTGTTCCTCCAGTAACTTCACTAGTAAAATCATATTCATACCAAATATTCCTTTCCTTTGGTGCAAATCCTATACATAGCAGAGGCTATCAAGCATGACTTCTAATCACCTTTGAACTGAAGTCAAAGATTAATGAAGTTTATTATAGCTAGATTCCAAAGGACAAAGTTGAAATATTTATAGTAGATCAGGTGAGACTTCAGTTAATTTCTGTTCTGGAGAACTGAAGCAATGAATATGAGTACTATTGCACATGCAAAGACAAACAACAATGAAAAATATCTATTTCCAATAACTTTAATTATAATGCAACTATTTTTGCTTGCAATGACACCTTAGTAACTAACTACTGAAGTAGAAAGGTAGACATCTCTTAAAGCATACTAGAATTCAAAGAAGGATCAGAATTAATGGAGTAATTGAAATAATCTGAGTAGTATAGCACACTGGATGGCTCTTTTAAGACATGGCTTTGTAGAAGTGAAGATGTTACTTTTCCTAGAATATTCAGTATCTGCACTGATAATAAAGATCAAAGCATATCAGAAGTTGGCAGAAGTTATTCTAATACCTATTTCATACTAAGATCGGAATATACAGCTTTGGCTATACTGTTTTGGTAGCACCAAAGGGCTCCACACAGAATGCAGAGTTTCCCAGTGTAGAATATTGCACAATACGTGGAGGATTATAGTCCATGGGTAAAGCACTTTTAACAATGTAGTTCTCTTGACTTCAGATGTTTGGATGAAAATACAAATTGACTTTTACATTTAATAAAATGTCATGCCAGCAAAATTTTGTTTCTTTAAACAAGTATATTATAAGAAATAAGTAAGAGCAAGTTATACTAATTCACTCTTCCAGTTCGACAAATCTAAGCAGGTAACAGTCACTCATTACCCAGACCTAAACCAACTTTTTCAACCAGAATAATAAGTAGCAAGAAAAAGCCACTGTTGCTTCTCTATTACAAAGATTGTTACAAACATGACAACTGACAGTGCATTTTGAAAAAATCATGGAAGTTGTGACTTCTACTACTTTTAATCTTGAGAACGTATTTCCAAGCTTTGAACACCTCACATTTTGCCATATAATAGAATACTGTCACATAATAAAAACTGCCTGAACCAGGAGAAAAAAACCCCAAGACTGAACATCTGCCATA